TAAATAATAAAATATTTCAACTTGTAGTCAAGTTAGGATTGGTTCATACTACTCATTTTTTGCTTTATTGTAACAAATATAATTTTATTGCTACAATAAACGTAAATAAGGAGTTAGTATGAACAAATCTTAATTTGACTACCACTTCTAAACTAAATATTGAATGACAATTTTCGATGTTCCCGCGTTTTGTGTTAACTAAAGTGACCGCGAGATGGCGCCACTTCCGTCCAAATAGTTCAAAGAACGCTCACCCGGCGCTACAATACTGTCTCGAATTTTGACATTGCAGTTTTCATTTTAAAAGTAAGGGATCTGCGGTTACTTTTTCGAGTCTTCAAAGTAGACGGGCAGCGATGGCCAACGCCAGACTACAGTGCGGTAAACGTAAATAGTCGATTTCGCACGACACTATTACACAATTCTATTCTCATAGTATCTTCGAGTAATGCTCGAAACATAGTATTGAGTTGCTCGGGCGAGATTTGAGCACTAAACTGTATAATTTGTTGACATATTTCATTCAAGTTAGTTAGGTAGCTCATTCTAAAGCCTTGTTCAGATAAGGAGCGATGAGCGTGGCGATGCGATAGCGTTGCGTCAAGCGACGGGATTAATATTTCAGAGCATCACATCGCTGGTCGCTATCACCCTGAACGTTTGAATTTGATAACACTAGGCTGTTTTACCTACGACGCATCTCTCAACGCAACGATATCGCATCGCCACGCTCGTCGATCCTACTCTGAACAAGGCTTAACTCAAACCTGTATAAATTGCTTTTAAGCATTCCCCAAAAATAAAAATCAAGTGTCGCTAAGTCTGGCGACCGTGGTGGCCATTTTATAGTGCCTCGATTGGAAAATTGTTCATTTAGGTAGGTAGTCACTATTTGTGCATTAAGTGACGTATATTCGTCTTGTTGGAACCAAATGTCATTGAAGTTGACTTAAAGACTTCTGACGGTAGGAATAATGTCATTTTCAAGTTACTCTGAATGAAAACAGGACCGATGAAAGTATCCCCCAGGATTCCCGCCCAGACATTCACTTTTTGCCGTGCGTACAGATACATTTAAATGTTTATTTTCCTGACATTATTTGGCAAAACTACGTACATTTCAAATGATCGTCAGGAAAAATTTCTTGAGTGGTCCGTACCTGAAAACTTGAAGACAGTGTAGCTTCAGCTAATGCACAGACTTGCATTTCCCTAATTTCTCGTTCTTTCTTCAATTGATTTTGACCTGGTTGCCTAGAGGGACACATTTTGCAATTATTAACGCAGCCAAACTTATCAAATTTTGCTATTCTCCCCCCCCCCCCTCTATAGTACCACTTCAGTATTTATATTTTTTCACGAGTGGTATAAATAACGGCATCTTAATACCTAGTCATTTTAAAAAGAAAACCATAATCTATAATTTTACCTTCACGCGCTATGGACTCGATCTGGTCTAGACTGAATTTGTTTGGTTCGCATGTCGAAGTCAACAGACGAGATCGGTCGGCGTCGCGAAGAGTAGTGGGATTCCCAACACTCTACTTCTGCTTTCTCTCTCTTATTCTAGCTTCATATGAATAGTCCTCTTATTGTTGCTCTTTATAATTTTGCCCTGTTCTCAAGAAAAATTTAAGCCGAATCTGTATTAAATATTAACGCGACTTAATTATTATTTGCAGTACGTATTGTATTTAATTTCTCAAGCATTTTTCCAAAGAGAAACTTTTGTTTCAGATATTTATTAAAACAAAAAGCAGCAAATTGTCATATATTTAATACATAATAGCTCGTAAACGTTTTATTTTTAATTCCTTTTACAAAAAAAAACAGGTTCTCTAATATAATTTTTATTACTATTGGTATTTCCTGAAATTTTAACAAAAATCGGACTAAAAATAAAGGGCCAGAAGGTTTGCTTTTAAGTTGAATTCAAAAACTTTTGGGCAGATTTATAAGTATAAGCGACTACACACTGAAAATCAAACAGCAATCAGACATTTTTTACTTACTAACTATGTAGACGAACAGCGGCCCGACTTAGCAGGTTCACTTATTGTGTATTGATATCTGCAGTCAAGCCAGGCCCATCGCAGTTAGTAGTAGCGGACAGGCGTTATATCCATGGAGGAAAGATTATTAAGAGTTGCCGTATCTTTATAGAAATTTGGCAACAAGTTTGCTTGCAGCGACCTGTGGAAGCGGGTGGTTCAACTAATCCTACTCTGTCGGTAATATAGTTACCTGCAATATTAGCTGTTCAATCATTACTCTGTTGGTAATGCAGTTGCCCGTAATACCATATTTAATTTGAAAATTGGCGGGCTTATTTTACATCCATTAAGTGGAGCATTTATTTTAACAATTATTATTTTCCATCTAATACGATATATAGGCATCCAAAATTTCAGTTAATTTTTTTCATTTTTAGTGAAAGAAAAACATGTAAGTGAAGGTAGACGTTCGTTCCTCTGGAGACACTTTTTTAAAATTTGATCAATTTTGATGGCAAAAATCGCAAAATTTTGTTTCATAAAGACTTTCTCAATTTTTGAGAAAATAAATCAGATTTCAGAATAGTGGCTCCAGAGAAACAAATATTTCACTTTTACCTGAATGTACATATTATTCATTCACTAAAAATTAAAAATAAACTAGAAATGTCCATAGCTCTATTTCGTATTGGTTAGAAAAAGATAATTGCTAAAGTAAATTTTTCTCCTCTTAATTATATTTAAAATTTTGCTTTTTTATTAGCTGTTTGTTACAATTATGAAATGCCAATAAAAATGTAAAATTCTATGACAAATAACTATGAGGGGTAAAATAAATACCATACAAAGTTTTATATAATTATATTTACTAAAAATTCCCAAGAAAAATAAATTAAATTAATGGTAATACAACAATAATAATAGATTTTCCTACACTTCAACCTACATGAGTTAAACCCCAAGAAGAGCTTGTGAGTGGCAAGAATAGTTATTATTATTTGCTATGGCACTCTGGGCTGACTTAAAGATAACCGATAGTGCCATATTATTTGCAGGTGAGTAAAACCCGGATAACCCGGCCTACCATCATTATTTGTATATATTAGTTTACTTCGATACAAAGTACAATCTATTTTTACAAATGTTTACTAGTTTCTATAAAAAATACTCCTAATTTCACGAAAATGTTATTCTCTAAAGATTATCTAATGAGTTTGACTTAAAAACATTCTAGTATTATAAATTATCTCCAAATACTTATTATCTTTAAGAAAGTTACTCTAATATCAGAAATATCACATTATTATTTAGGTGTATGTTAACTATCTTCGGTTAAAATAATGAATATCAGAAATTGCAAATAAGTCATGTACTTGATTTGAAAAAACTAATTTTCTAAATAACAAAAATATTCTTGTTGAATCTTGGGAAATAAGATAAAAGGCAACCATCCATATAAACTGAAACAGAAAAAAAATTAAATGCAGTAACTTCAATCATTTTGTTTATCTTTTTGGTCTTAAAATATTGCCACAGCTCTCATACTAGGTCTGTCCGGGTTCTTCAAAAATACATTGAGAACTATCAGAAGACTAGTTGACCAGTGGACAGTTTAATAGTTGTATCCGACAAATAATTTGGAATTAAACTGTTTCACTGGTTCTCGGACAGTTTGCATCGAGTTTTAAAGAAACCTGAACAAACCTATATTATAATAGTTTTGAATTAAATTGTTGAAATATCTTTGATTCTGAAATTTTGACTGCAGTTTAAACGTCACATTAGGAATTATAGGGCATTTTTTAATTTGCAAATTTTACTTTTCTGTTTTCTATAAAATTTATTTAAAAATCCATTATCGAAACGTTGTTCCTTATGTAAGATTCAAATTCAATTGATGACTGACCGTTTTTGAAATTTTGATCTTCTATATTATTGAAATGTAACACAGGTAATCTGGAGGTGTGATAACAACATTACTAAGTATTATTATCTTTGGTGTATCTGGTTTTGAGGGTGCTAAGCAAGCAAATCTTAGCAGTCTTAGTCTTGAACAATTTGTGTTTGTAATCGATTTCGTATCAAAATTATCTCATAATTCATGATTGGTTTCACATGAAATGTTTAAAATGTGGCACCATTCTTTCTTTGATTTGGAAATTATGTATTTTCTCTAGTTAAAGCATCAAAATACCTTTACTTAATTTTAAATAATCCTAAATAACTTATATCTAAAACTAAAATTAATAAAAAATACTCTCACTCACATGTTTTCGTCGGCGGCAACCATAACCATATTGTTTTTTTGTTTACTTTTTGTTGATAGCGCGCGCGTCACCGTGGCAGCGGTCACACGGGGGGGAGCCAGCAGGCATGTAGCGGACATAAAGACAGGTTAACATTGTACAAATAACTAAGTGAAGGCATGATTTTTTAATTTGGTTTAATATATAAATTAAAATTGTTGAAATAATACTTTTTTGTGTTACTGAGCGAGATGTTATTAAATTATTCAGTGTGCTTTACATTTTAATACAATTTGGTTATTGTAAAACGGACTTCAGAGCACCCAAGCGCCGGGTGGTCTGCGCAGTAAACAGGTTGGCATATTTTGCATATGATTTAAACCCCCGTGGTTATATCAATGAGTACGAGGTATATCGTAGGGTGTGCCATCTTTTCGGAGGAGATGTAATGCCGTCGGTCCCGAGTTATTGGGCTCGTTAAATATCCCTACCTCTGTTTGGAACACCAGAGAATTCGGCTAAATTTCTGGTATTTGGGGGTAGCGTGCTCACCAGCGTCGGTGTTTAAATCTCGTAGAAATAGGCAGACATTAAATAAGATAGTAAAAAACACTTTGTAGACCAGGTGAAAATTTGTATTAAGATAATGAATTTGGACAGCAATATTGTTTGGCATTGTAAATATCCACAAAAAAATTTCATAAATAACCAATGACCGGCCAAAAAAAATTAAAAATAAATACTTAACAATTCAACTTACCATTGTATTCAAATTCATTGGAAACTCCAAGGTAACCCTGCAACAATGAAATTATATTGTTAGCTATATAATTTTATAAACAATGGACACAAATTCATACAGGTCGGGCCTGTGCAAAATATACACAAAAAATGTGGAATGTTAATATAAACGTTTTTGTACTGATGAATTCTATAGAAATAGTGAAAATCAGCCATAGAAATTTTTTGTTTTACAATTATCGGGTACTTTAAATAATGTGGTGCAGAGCTGGTGTAGGTATTATTTCTTGTATTCAAAATAAATGCTTCAGGCACTAACAAAAAGGTTCATATTAGTATTTTAATATAATTATTAAAGATTCAAACATTTCTTGTAAAAAAGTGTTACGAGGACTCGTTCATTTTAAATGTAAAATACAGATATCATAAAAATAAATTTAATCAAGAATCTTTGTTCTTACCTAAATATTTAATTAGTTTTACACAAGTATCAATAATACAAATAGTGTAGGAAAAATGAGATAACATTTTATCATAAGCGTGCGTAGAGCGTGATTTAGGCATGAATTTAAAAGTCACAATTCAAGTAACTGTTGTACATTAAATACTTCAAGCGAACATACGACTCCATCTTTTCCAAGATATATCTTCCATAAGTTATATAAAGTTATAACAGAACAAATAGAAGAGCCGGAAGTGGTAGGTACGATTCATATCTACACCGACGGTTTTCAAACAAAATAAGGCTTAGGATGTGAAATATACGCCAGATTCTTAAACCTTATCATAAAATGGTATGCCCGGTAATAGTGCCAGCGTAGATTAAACCAAACTCACAGATATTCTCATATCAGCAAATCACTGCAAGGAACATGCTCATCTATACAGATTGCAGACAAGCACTACTCGCTCTAACCAGACCACCAATTTCCTTAATGTTAGTGCTAGAATAACACAAAACTTTGGTCGAAATATCCATCAACAAAGTGGTCACCTTAAGATGGATCAAAGGTAACCATCTTGCTGATTCACTAGCCAAATACTTTTTGGACTTGGTCCTACTATTGGACTGAAAGCATCAGCATTGATAAACCTAATTAAAGAACATTCCCTAATAAAATTGTGCACTGGCCTCGAAATCGAGGTCATTAGAAGTAGAATACACCAGTGCATCATCTGCAAATAAGTGGATTAAGCATCAATCATTTACTATTTGTTCTATATCATCAATATAAAGTAAAAAGAATAAAGGACCCAACATGCTTCCCTAAGGTACACTAAAACAATTTTCTATTTTATTTGAAATGTTAATTTTGAGTTTTGTTTACGATTGACTAGGTAACTGTACAGCCATTGTAACACTTCTTCTACAATTCTAAAACTATTATCAGAAATCTCTATTAACAGTTTCAAACAATCTCTGTAGGTTAACAATTTCTTGACCTTTTTAGTCCCAGAGCCCACATGCAGATTTGTGACTTATTTTGTTATGGCTGAATTTATTTTTAAATTGTGCTATGATACGTGTCCAACGAATTCACGAAAGCGCGACGTTCAGACTGCGGCGCTTAGGTAGCTATAGGCAGTACAACTAAATGTTCGGACAAAAAATAATTTATTGAAAACGTTAATTTACACAAACTAAATTATTAAATTAAACAACTACATTAACAATAGTTTAAAATCAATCATTTATAATAAACATTTAAAAGGTTTATTTTCTAAATACATTGAAATTTACTGTGTGAGAATAAATATACAAATATATTGCACAATATCGTGACAACTAAATGGTAATTAATTGACAGTTACTTATTAGAAACTGTTTTGCCAAAAATTCTGATAAATTTAGTCCAAAATGGCCAGAGGAAGTGCGACAAATGTAAAAATTCGTGAATTGTAAATCAAAAAAGGGTAAAAAAATACGTGAAATAGTGGATGAATTAGATTTCCACCAAAGTATTTTTAATTTACGCACATGTCTACTCACGCACCACTTTAAAACGTTTGAGAGAGAAAAATGGCAAAGCGAAAATGGTGGAGGAAGTTATTTTTGTGAAAAACATAGCAAAAACTTGAAAATAAACCAAAAATCAGCCATAAGAAAGTAAGTCACGTGCACGCCTTCTAACGTACTACTTTAAAACGTTGGAGAGAGAAAATGGCCCAGCGCAATTGGTAGAGGGTTTTATGTTTCTTGTAAGTGGGCACTTATCGTCGAATGAGCATAACGAAAATGTTAAGAAAATAAGTCAAGTTTTTGAGAGGCACGTACCACTCATAATGCCTATAGCTACCTAAGCGCCCCAGTTTAAACGTCGCGCTTTCGTGAATTCGTTGGACACGTATCATAGTACAATTTAATAATAAATTCATCCATAAGAAAATAAGTCACAAATCTGCACGTTGGCTCTAGGACTATTCGATTTGATGTGTTTGTGGTTTAAAATTGGTATGCATGAATTGTTTTAAGTTAAAATAGTTGCGAATTTTTATAAATCCGCCCCTGCGTAATCTTTGTTACGAGAAAAATAAGACAATAGAATTCATCATGGAATATTCCGTGATTGTGGATAACTAAATATCTAATCGCCTTTATTATAGGAGCATTAGTTGAATGTCTCAAAATGGTACGAGCGCGTCTCGAATATTTTATTTGCGACATAAAAATTCGACACTCTCGCGATATCAATATAAAAAAAAAATATTTTAATTCACGAAATTTGAGTGCCACTAAAATATTCGAATATATTCAAGTGATGAAAAATCACACAATGATAAAGCAAAAAGGGCAATTTATTAACTTTTTCGTTTTCGTCGTTGAAATTATCAAGTTTAGGAATAGTAATTTTGCAAATTACTAAAAAGTTTCGTCGAAAAAAGTTATGAGTTTCATCATCAGAAATCGCATATCTGATGCCATCTGTAACAAAATGTAAAATAATAAATACAATAATATTACTTGTCTAAATGAATGCCTCTTTGCTAATTTTCATAACTATTTAGGATTATGTCGTGAAATTATTACCAAAAAAATATTTAAACTTTAACACCCCACCCCGTATCTTTTTCTACCACACCATTTTAATGAGGCATAATTGGTCCAAATACCTGCGCTTGCACTGTCTCCATAGTCATGACTCACCCTGTATACAGATTGAAAAGTTTGTAAATGCCTAATTTTCTCGAAAACGAATTTCCAGAAATTTACAAAATTTGGGATGTGGAGGTCAAGAGACCTACAGATTTAGGTATGTTTTACATTGTTGCCAGATTTACCGTTTCTCCGATAATATTGGTCACTTTGGTTCTTTAAATACAACCTAAAAAATTATAAAATCTCAAGTGTGATATAATGTTAAACTGTCATTTAAGAGTACAACCAAAACTGAAATAATACCTTTAAAAACCAAATTGATCCATATTATCAGAAACACGGTTAATTTGGCAACAATGCACATATCAAATTAGGCCTCGGTACAGCGTACGTTATTTTTATTTTCTACTGTTTCACTTTTATAGCAACATCAAAGGAATCTAGCGGTGAAAAAGTACAGTACCGCACTTAAATATGAGGATTTGTTGATATATGATTTGATAGAATATTTTGTTTGTATAAATTAAAAAAATTAATTAATTAAAAAACTTATAAGAATTCTCATCACCTTTGTCATCTTCATTTGACGTGTTTTCCAGATTTATGATGCAAGAATGACCATTCAATATTCTTGACATTGCGAACACAATTGATCCATTATTTCTGGAGGTATCTCTGCAACAACTTCTTTAATGATATTTAACATACTTTGAGTCAAAGGAGTGACGTTTATCTTTCTTACTTCCTCCTTGATAATACTCCAAATCAATTCGATAAGATTGAACATACAATAATATGGTAGCAAACGTATAACGGTATGACCGAATCTTTTAGCCATCTCATCAAAACAATACATTGGTTTATGATTCAATCTCTTCAATATTATTTAAAATAGAGATATATCATGCTTGCGAGTTTTCGGTTTCCATATTTCGCCTATTTGTCGAAAATGGTTCAACAAACTATTGCTCGAATACGCTGGAAGACATATCTTGATGATAATCTGCAAAGCAATACAATATGTTCCTCACTGATAATAGGAATAAATTGGCTACAAAACCACTCTGCCGGCCTGAATACTTTTCCGTATTTGAAGAAGCATTAAGGGAACATTTAGCGGATCCATTACTCCATCACGAGATTTCAGTTTCAGGTAATTAAATATTTTAAATTTAACAGGTCAACTGCCATGTGAATCATATGATTCACTCAGTCTCGCCACCATGATGATGTATGATTGGTATATAAAGTCAGTATAAATGTGATTTAAAAAAGTCGATAGCCTGTATTTTTTTACGATTTGGAAAATATCGCTGAGCTATCCAGTTTTTATAACAAAGAGTTTAGTTAATAATAAATTAATTCAAGCGTATTAGGTAAACAGGCTGGTTTTTAAAGAGCCATCGGTTAATAATAAATTACAATAGGGCATTTTATTTTTGAAATTAGACAAGTGTGTTTTTCGATGTTCCCTATGCAGCTGGATGCCGCTTTCTTTGTGAATTGTATATAGGTATGTATAATGGTAAAACTGAAATCTAATTGTGAAATAACGTTAAATAATTCTGGCCTGCCCTATATGTCCTTAAACTCCCGCATTCTAAATGCTGTAGATATATTTTTGAGAACCCGGTTTCAAGAAAACTAGACATTTCCAGACTTTGCTTCCACTCTGTATCTGTATTTTTCCATTACTTATTTTTAGAAAATTCTTGATTTTGTTTAAATATTCGTGTCCTATATTTATACTCCTATTACATGCTTTGTCAGTCATGGTTTGAATTGATTGATAATTATTCCAACATCGAAAATTAGTTATACACAACACAAAATTACTTTCATGTTGAAATGTTGAAAGTGCGCTGGCACATAACAAATAAACGAAAACATTTCCTTATAGATTAGTGTATCGAAGAGACAATTTGTGTTTTGCAAGTCAAAAACGGCAGATAAACATGC